ATATATAGGCCTTTTATTTTATACTAATTTTCAATATTAATTATTAATTGTCCTGGTTTGCATCTATATTATTTCTCCTAATAAAAAGTTTAGAAAAAATTAAATAATGTTAAAACAATGTTGAAACACAAATAAAGCTAAGCTTATAAAAGAAAGCACCGCTGAGCATGGTTTTATTTCGAGCTGTATACTTTTAAGACAAACTTCTTTGTTAATACATTTTACATGAGGGGTCTCAGATGTATGACTTCAGGAATGACGTGATGACTGTTCAGCGGGTGGGCAGATGCCCCCCGTCCCTGGCAACAGTGAGAAACGGCACAGGCGTCACTAGTAGTTATGCAACGTGCTGCTACCACACAGCCGGCCGAGCGAGTGAGCGCTTTCATTCAGACTCTGAGAGCTCAGCAGGGTCTCTACCATTTCACGTACAGAGCGCCAGAAATCACCCCGCTGCCAGTGGTCGAATTGTACAAAAAAAATAAAAAATTCAGGGGGGATGGTGTGGTCAATTTCTTAAATACAAAATTTGTCTAATTTTAAAAAAGTTTTTATTTAATGAAAAAATAGCCTTATTAAATGAACTATTATTTATAAGCTTTATTAAACAATAAAGTATTTAAAATATTAAACAATATTTTGCTAAATGTGCTTTTGTGCTTAAACCTTGGCTGGTTTAGGCCTGTCATGGATAAATAATGATGAAATTTAAACCACCAGCAGGTGGCAGCAAGCCTCTGTTTTGATAAATTATTTATTGAATCATTCAAATCAAACGATTCGTTCAAAACGGCTGATTCAATTAGAAACGAAACAAGCCTGCGTCCTAATGTGCATACTATCCATCCTAAATTCTAGGTGATATTAGTAATTTTCAATACTATTTAGGGCAGACAGGCTGGATAGTATGCACTGCACATTGGGACGCACGCAGGGAAAGTGTCCATCTGAATGGGCCGTTGAATCACTGGCTCACTTGATTCGTTCAAAAACGGATTCATTCAAGGACGAAACACGTGTTACTATGCACTGTTGTATAAAATTAATAGCGCATTTGTGCACGCGCATGTAGGCATACTGATATTCAGAAAAGTACAATGCTTGTGCAATGAATATAAAAACATAAAAACTCACACATGGGTATTTTTTCATTAATTGCTTGAATTATAAGGTTATTTTACCTGTATTCTAATAGGCTTCATCGCGCAGTGAATGCTTTTGGACTCTCAAGACGTGTTTTTGTTTAGTTTTTGCAAGGTCGATGACTCGATAATGTCAGCTCTCCTATCATCTCGCAATCCCTCGCAGTTACACATACAGCACAATAACATT